TGAATTCTCTATTCAGTTCAGTACCCCATTTTTTAATTGGGTTAATTAGAGATTTAGTGTCTAGTTTCTTGACTTCTTTGTATATTTTGGAGATCAGACCTTTGTCTGTTGAGGGGTTGGTGAAGATCTTCTCCCAGTTCGAAGGTAGCCTTTTTGTCTTACTGACAGTATCTTTTGCTTTACAGAAGCTTCTCGGTTTCAGCAGGTCCCATTTATTCATTGTTTCTCTTATTGTCTGTGCTACTGGGGTTCTACTTAGGAAGTGGCCTCCTGTGTCTATATCTTGTAGACTACTTCCCACTTTCTCTTCTATCGGGTTCAAAGTGGACAGATTAATGGTGATGTCTTTAATCCATTTGGACTTGATTTTTGTGCATGGTGATAGATATGGATCTACTTTCATTCTTCTACAGGTTGACATTCAGTTATGCCAGCACCATTTGTTAAAGATGCTTTCCTTCTTCCATTGTATACCTTTAGCTCCCTTGTCGAAAATTAGGTGTTCATAGGTTTGTGGGTTAATATCTGGGTCTTCTATTCGATTCCGTAGGTCGACTTCTCTGTTCTTATGCCAATACCAAGGTATTTTCAATACTGTAGTTCTGTAATAGAGTTTGAAGTCAGGGATGGTAATGCCTCCAGAAGTTCCTTTATCGTATAAGATTGTTTTGGCTATCCTGGGTTTTTTGTTTTTCCATATAAACTTGATTATTATTCTCTCAAGGTCTGTGAAGAAGTTTGATGGGATTTTGATGGGGATTGAATTGAATCTATAGATGGCTTTTGGTAGAATTGCCATTTTTACTATGTTGATTCTCCCAATCCAAGAGCAGGGAAGGTCTTTCCATTTTCTGGTATCCTCCTCAATTTCTTTCTTAAAAGACTTAAAGTTCTTGTCAAATAGCTCTTTCACTTCCTTGGTTAGAGTAAGCCCAAGATATTTTATGCTATTTGTGGCTATCATGAAAGGTGATGTTTCTCTGATTTCCCTCTCTGCTTCTTTTTCCTTTGTGTATAGGAATGCCACTGATTTTTTGGAGTTGATCTTGTATCCAGCCACATTACTAAAGGTATTTATCAGCTGTAGGAGTTCTTTGGTAGAGTTTTTAGGTCGCTTACGTACACTATCATATCGTCAGCAAATAATGAAAGTTTAACTTCATCATTTTCAATTAGAATACCCTTGATCTCCTTATGTTGTCCTATTGCTATTGCTAGAACTTCAAGCACTATATTGAAGAGGTATGGAGAGAGTGGACAGACTTGTCGTGTTCCTGATTTTAGTGGAAAGGCTTTGAGTTTCTCTCCATTCAGTTTGATGTTAGCTGTCGGCTTGCTGTATATTGCTTTTATTATATTTAGGTATGATCCTTGTATCCCCAGTCTCTCCAACATCTTTCTCATAAATGGGTGTTGAATTTTGTTAAATACTTTTTCAGCATCCAATGAAATGATCATATGGTTTTTTTCTTTCAGTTTATTTATATGATGGATTACATTGATAGATTTGTGTATGTTGAACCAGCCCTGCATCTCTGGGATGAAGCCTACTTGAACATAATGGACATTTTTTTAATGTGTTCTTGGATTCGGTGTGCCAGTATTTTATTGAGAATTTTTGCCTCGATGTTCATAAGTGAGACCGGCCTGTAATTCTCTTTCTTGTTTGTGTCTTTGTGTGGTTTTGGTATCAGAGTAACTGTAGCTTCATAAAAGGAGTTTGGCAATGACTCTTCTGTTTCTATATAGTGGAATACATTAAGGAGTATAGGTATTAGCTCTTCCTGGAAGTTCTGGTAGAATTCTGCATTGAAATCGTCTGGACCTGGGCTTTTTTTGGTAGGGAGATTTTTGATAACAGCTTCTAATTCTTCATGACTAACAGGTCTATTTAGATTGTTCACCTGTTCTTGGTTCAACTTTGGTATATGGTACTTATCTAAAAAGATGTCCATTTCTTTTACATTTTCCAACTTTGTGGCAAATAAACTTCCGTAGTAAGATCTAATGATTCTCTGAATTTCCTCTGTGTCTGTGGTTATGTCCCCCTTTTCATTTCTGATCTTATTAATTTGCATGTTCTCTCTCTGCCGTTTGATTAGTTTGGATAGGGGTTTGTCGATCTTGTTGATTTTTTCCAAGAACCAGCTTTTTGTTTCATTGATTCTTTGGATTGTTTTCTGTGTTTCTATTTTGTTGATTTCAGCCCTCAGTTTGATTATTTCCAGTCTTCTACTCCTCCTGGGTGAATCAGTTTCTTTTTTTTCTAGAGCTTTTAAGTGTGTTGTTAAGTCTCCAATGTGTGCTTTCTCCGTTTTCTTTAATTGGGCACTTAGTGCTATGAACTTTCCTCTTATCACCGCTTTCATAGTGTCCCATAGGTTTGAGTATGTTGTGTCTTTATTTTCATTTAATTCAAGGAAGACTGTAATTTCTTTCTTTATTTCTTCCTTGACCCAGGGGTGATTTAGTAGTTGACAGTTCAACTTCTTTGAGTTTGATGGCTTCCTGGGGGTAGCATTGTAGTTGAATACTAACTTTAATCCATGGTTATCTGACAAGACACAGGTGGTGACTAATATTTTTTTGTATCTGTGGAAGTTTGCTTTGTTATCAAGTATGTGGTCAATTTTTGAGAAGGTTCCATGAGCTGCAGAGAAGAAGGTATATTCTTTCCTATTTGGGTGGAATGTTCTGTAGATATCTGTTAAATCCATTTGATTCAATACCTCCAATAATTCTCTTATTTCTCTCTGTTGGGGTTCTGTCTGATTGATCTGTCCATTGGTGAGAGAGGTGTGTTGAAGTCTCCTATTATTAGTGTGTGTGGTTTGATGACTGCCTTTAGTTCTAGAAGAGTTTCTTTTACATAAGTGGGTGACTTTATATTAGGGGCATAAATATTCAGGATTGAGACTTCCTCCTGATGAATTGTTCCTGTTATGAGTATGAAATGTCCCTCTCTATCTCTTCTGATAGATTTTAGTTTGACGTCAACTTTGTTAGATATTAGAATGGCCACACCTGCTTGTTTCTTAGGTCCGTTTGCTTGGAAAACATTTTTCCAGCCCTTTACTCTGAGTAGATGTCTGTCTTTGTGGTTGAGGTGTGTTTCTTGTAAACAGCAGAATGTTGGATCCTGTTTTCGTATCCAATCTCTAAGTCTGGGCCTTTTTATAGGTGAATTGAGTCCATTGATATTAAGTGATATTAATGACCAGTGGATGTTGACTCCTGTAATTTTTTGGGGTAGTAGAGTGTATGTGTTTTCCTTCTTTGAGTTGTGCTTGTGAAGGATTGCTAGATGTCTGAGTTATTGTAGGCAGTGTTGGGAATGTTGGATTCCTTGGGTTGTGATTTGCCTTCTAATACTTTCTGTAAGGCTGGATTTGTAGCTACGTATTGCTTAAATTTGTTTTTATCCTGGAATATTTTATTTTCTCCTTTGATAGTGAATGATAGCTTGGCTGGGTATAGTAGTCTGGGCTTGCATCCATGGTCTCTTAGTTTCTGCAGTACCTCTATCCAGGACCTTCTGGCTTTCATGGTTTCCATCGAGAAGTCTGGTGTAAGTCTGATAGGTTTACCTTTATAAGTTACTTGATCTTTATCCTTTGCAGCTCTTAATATTCTTTCTTAATTCTGAATGTTTTGTGTGTTGATTATTATTTGGCGAGGTGATGGCTTTTTTTTTTTTTGATCCAGTCTATTTGGTGTTCTGTATGCTTCAGAGTGATATCGTTCTTTAGGTTGGGCTAGTTTTCTTCTATAATTCTGTTGAATATATTTTCTGGACCCTTGATCTGCAATTCTTCTCCTTCTTCTACCCCTATTATTCTTAGATTAGGTTTTTTTTTTATTTTGTCCCAGATTTCCTGAATGTTTTGTGATGAGAATTTGTTGGATTTGCTGTTTTCTTTGGTCAGAGCGTTTAATTTCTCTATGGTGTCCTCAGAGTCTGAGATTCTTTCTTCTATCTCTTGTATTCTATTGGTTATGCTTGTTTCTGAAGTCTCTGTTCGTTTACCTAGATTTTCCATAGCCAGCCGGCCCTCGGTTTTGTGATTTCTTCATTGACTGCATTTCAGTTTTCAAATCTTGAACTGTTTCCTTTACCTGTTTGATTGTTTTTTCTTGGTTTCCCAGAATTTCATTTACGGATTTACTCATTTCTTCAAACTTTTTGGTATATTTGTCTTCCATTTATTTACTCATTTCCTCAATCTTTTTGTTATACTTATCTTCCATTTCTTTATGGCAGATTTTTACCTCCTGTTTAAGTTCCTCTATTATTTTCATAAAGAAGTGCTTAGAGTTGATTTCTTCTATTTCTTCTGGAGTAGGGTGTTCAATTCTTCTAGTTTAGTGCTCCCTGGGTTCTGGAGATGTCATGTTGCCTTTCAGGTTGTTGGAGGAATTCTTGCATTGGCGCCTGCCCATCTCCTCCTCTCTGAATGAAACTCCTCAGCACTTTCTGGATAGAACTCCTCAACACTCTCTGGTTAGAATTCCTCAGCAGTGCAACAGGGCTAGCTGGTTTTCCCAGGACCCAAGAGACAAAAGGGTGGTAGCAGTGGGGGCAGGGAGGGGTCCCGTGGAACACCGAAGACCCTGCTGCAGAAGCTGAGGAGGGGAGGGGCTGTGCTCTCTTCCCAGACAGGCCTGCTGCCCAGGGAGCACCCACTCACGTCTCTGGGTAGAACTTCTCAGCAGTGCAACAGGGATAACTGGTCTTCCCAGGGCCCAGGAGACCCATATTTGTTATTTTTAAACTATATTTTTATAGTTGTTATGATTGCAAAATTTAGAGTACTATAAATTAAATGAAAGTTTACTCAGTATTTTGTTTTAATGTCTGATATTTGTGTTTACTTTTCCATATACTTACCAAGAATCCTAAGCATTCACTCATACACACTTGGAAAGAAATACTTGACACAGTTAATATAGATGAGACAGGGAGTCAAGAGTATCTTGTGATCTCAGAGCTGGTTACTTACTGATATGGATGCATTTAGGTTGAGGAGACCAGCCATTCTCTGTACACGTAATAGTGTCCTGACCATTTGGAAGACTGTAGCCACGGTAACACTGGACTCTTACAGACTGATCTTGTATGTAGTTTCCTTTCTGTTGTAGAATTTCCCCATTCTCTATATGATATATGCCACATAGCCCTAAGGACCATAAGTTAATCATAAATGTTAATTTTTTTAAAAAAAAACTAAGGTTTATGTTTATAATAGTTAAATAAAAATGTGTGACATCAACAATAAAACCAATATCAAAAGTTTCAAGAATAGCACTTATCTTTAGATTTTATGAATAAAACTTGCAAGAAATAAAGATAATCTCATAGTCCTCGTTTTTCAGGTTCATTTCATGAAAAACTGCTCACAAGACAGAAACTAGTCGTTTTTGTTCACAAACTGTTTTGTTTCTTATTTTTTCTCATGAGAGACTCAACTGTAATTGCATATGTGCTCTTCTGTTTCTACTCTTTGATAGAACATGATTTAATACAGACAATGACTTACTGCGACATGGGACTGCTGGCTCCCACCCTTGTGCAGTGCAGTGAATAGTGTCCCAGTATGTCCCTGAGGGAGGCAAAAATCCTCTGTTGCAGTAATATTCAAATGACTTTCCTGTAGCTACTGGGAAGTAGGGTTTGTGTTCCTTTTCATCATATAGACCTCCATTTTTGATTTGTGGAAAATCACAAGGTTGATCTTGCAATAAAAAAAGACAGAAAAAAACTCATATCAGAGATAAAACACTTGACCAGTAAATTAGTTTCTATCAATTACAATAACTGCAAGTTTAGAGAGTATTCAGAGAAGGAGACAAATAAAATCCATACTGTTGAGGTATGTGAGAAGGTCTTTCCTCATTATTTTAGGTTATGCCTGACATGTCACCAAAGAAGTGGGTCAGGAATATTTATTAATATCCAATGTGATAGGTGTTTATTTAAAATTTTTATCAGAACTGAAATCTAATTTGATTAAATCAAAGTGAACTATTTTTATAACTTCATATTGAAGTACCATATTGCTCTTCGTATTAATAAATTTATAAGTAATGTGTCATTAAATTTTTCACTTCATGCTATTATTTATAAATAAAAAGTACTTTTAATATCAGAAAAGTATTAACTTTTCTATGAAGTATGATTTTACTACAGGGATCCTCATGCAGTATGTTAAAGAATTTATCCAATACATGACAAAACACAAAAATCTCTTATAGCTTCCTTGTTCATTCACACATACTCACATTTTTGCATAGTTTATAAGTTTAAATTTTTTTTATCTTAAGTGTTCTTCTTTAAAACTTTAGAATTTTGCTTTTCATCAGACATTAAAAACTTACATTAGCTCATTGAGATTTCTTTATAAAATGTTCTAAAAGGGGACATGATTTTAAATAGGGATATTTTAAACTTATAGACACATTCCTGTGCCTTTTAGCTAATCTTCATTTTCATTTGGGCAGTTGTTAATCTGTGTTTGTCCCTTTTATAAATAATTCCTCAAAACAAATCTTATTTTCCTCAAAGTGAATGATCAGCAGAGGTAGTCAGTAGTTAAAGCTGTCTCGTTTGAATACTACACTTTTCCAGGTGCAGGATGTGGCCCCATCAGCATTGATGCATGGTCCATCACAGTTTTAATTCAGGCTCCTCACAAAATTGATTAATATATATACTAATTTTCACCTGTTTTAAATAAGTACCAAACAGTTCATTTTTTGATCTGTTCCAGGAATCCTAATTTTTAATTGTCAAATTTCATCCTACTTCAGATTCAACATGACACACAAGATCAATTTGTAGACTCTCTCTTAATGAAGATTTAAGCTTAGCATCTATTGTATTTCTTCAGTTTTGAATTTTTCTGTATTTTCCCTAGAGCAACAAACAATTTAATGAAAGAGATGAGAAACTGAGCAAGCCTGAGAAGAGAGCACTACACGTTTTAAATAAAATATGTATTTAATAAAATTACAATGAAATTTGTCATTTTTATTTTACTTAGTGAAACACCAGAAATTCTGCTATGAGAAAACTCAAATTCAGATATGTTTAGGTCACAGACAATTCTGATATCTTTGGGAAGATCTATATTGTGGATCTTGGGTTTGAGGTTCACTGAACTACTTAGAGTCCACAACTGTAATTGTAAACCTACTCAAAAGCCTTTGGTTTCATGAGATCTTAAATTAATTCTGTTATTGTAATAAATTGACATGACACTGACCAATCTTCTAGATATATATGTTCATATCTTGGATAGCCAACACTGTCAACATTAGTCAGAAATGCTTTTCTTTTCCAGTAAGCTGTGGTGAATGTAGAGCCTTGTTAATGAACAAGGTACTGGGAGTAGTGAGAGTGAGCTCATCATTAAAAAGACATTTACATCATCCCTCAAAAGTTCACAGAACATGTGGATGGAAGGGCATAAAGATTCTAAGCACAAGAATGTAGTCATCTTGGCTGTGAAGTATCTTCAGGACTATTCAGAGCCATTATAATCAAAAACTACATCAACAGATGAACGTCTACAGATGTCTGCACTGAGTCTATCAAGAATGACCCATCAACACCCAGGCATGAATGGAGTAAGCCTTGGGAACTCTGGCCCCACCTCTGACCAATTCCAAATCTTTTTGGTTCGGAAAACAAAAACAAAAACAAAAACACGGGTGTCATTGATTTTATGTATATTCCCACTAGTGACTAAAGTAGCTTCCAAAATACAGTACCAATTCAAATGTTACACATATGCCCTTAATTAAACTGTATATACCATTTATCAGATCCCAAACTTGGAAATCTAGAGAAAAGACATGCAAATATGAGGTATTGTTGGTAGAGTTGGGATGTGAAAAAATAAGGGGATAGGATATCCAGAACATTTTAAATACATGTAAGAAATTGTCAAAAGAAATAAATTTAAAAATAAAATATTAAAAGATCATTATTTTTTTTCCCTTACAATTCTCATACATCAGTGATATTTCTTACTGTTAATAGCATCTTTCTTTTCTATTATTGTTTGGATCTCATGTTTCCCAAAGTCTCACTTTAGTGGAAGCTTGGTTTCTCATTGCTGGTGATTTTGGGAGAGGGTGTAAAGTTCAGAAGTTGCTAGCATGGTTAAAATAAGTTAGATCATTGGGACTGTGCAATGAAGGGGTATTGGAATCTTGGCCGGTCATTTATAGCTTTGTTTCCTAGTGGGCAGGAGGGAAGCATATTTGCTTTAGCACTCATTCCTTGATATAATGCTATGCCTATCACAGGTTTAAAGTGGTGGGACTAGCTGACAATGAACCCAAGTCACCAAAGGCACCAAAACTTAAAATATGCCTTGTTCTAAGTTATTTCTTCAGTAATATTGACACAGAGACAGAAAGTGACTAAGAAGAGATCCTTGATCACTCTTTTTTCACTGTAGGGTTTATTTGTTTGGCTGAAAGGATACCAAGCTTAGGTATGATATACATTTATCAGTGTCTTCTAGACAGGAAGAAAGGAATATGGTTTCAGATAGGCAAAAAACCTGAAAAGAATGGAAGAAGTATACCAAAATAAAATGTCTTGACTCAATTGACATCGATGCATGTGTTTTAAGAAGCCATTGAAATCCTTCAATGCAAATGTCTCCAATGAAGGTAGCATAATTTCCCTCTTCGTGTGTGAGTTAGACTCAGAACATAAAGAACTACCATGTCCGAAACAATTGTGAGTAGATCATAGATGGGTTCTGGGCCTCCAGGGTCTCTTGGTTTAGTGACTCTCTAGTAAATTAGGTGATATCAAGCAATCTATGTGGAGGTTAATACATAAGGAACTGAGGCCTCCTGCCAAAGCCATGTGAGGGTGACATGTTGAATATACAGCCTATTGCCCAGCCAATGTTCCTGATGACTGACAACCATGGCAGTCTCTGCCAGCACCACACTGATGTAAATATAGTACGCAATCATCTGCAAATATGGCCCATAGAAATGGGGAGACAACAAAGGTTTGTTATGAAGCAAATATTTCTGATTGATATTTACTACAATGCAAATAAATAACTAAAATTAAATATTGTATGACATTCTTTCCCAGTAATTTACTGAAAATCTATGTAAATGTTTCTTTTTTTTTCTTAATTTTTAGGTCAAACAGCTTCTTTATTAACAATTGATAATATAACATATTTATAACATATAGAGGGAAATCCCACATCATCTAAACTTTTCTATCTAAATAAGAAGGAATATTTAACAATAACATAGTAAAATTATATGTAGCAAAACATGTAACAAGCAAGAATTAAAGTTACAATATTTATCCTATTTGTATCAAGCAAAAATTAAAAAAATCTATCATCTATCTTATCTTTGTGAGTCTAAATTTATCTTTTAATATAACTAATGAAAACTATATTTGTCTTCAACTCCATCAAAAACCCCATAAGTATAACATTACAAATGGTGAGTGCATACCTTATAAGACAATTGTTTTCTTGAATCTCCTTAAATCTAACATTCGTATAGGTGTTCAATTATTTCTTACATAGTCCCTATCATTTGGCAATTTCTGTGTGGTTACTGGGTATAGTAAGGTTGGTTATTTAAGAATCTTAGACTGTTTCTCTCTAACCTTATGACGCAATGCTAAAATTGATTCTCCATTAAATTACTCTGTCTGGATATGAATATCTCTACGCTCCATTTTATTAAGTTTTTCTAAGGCATGTATCTTTGAAGTCAAACCAAACAACTTTTAAAGAGATAAACAAAGAATTATCAGAGAAACAGCAAAGAAAAATAGCACACCAGTCCTTGTTGATTACCTCTTCATTTAATTGTTCCATTTTTAAATCATGCATTACATAATCATACAGAAACCTAACTGTCTCTACTGTAATTGTGTTTCACATTTTTAACATTGAAAAAGCTCTCCCTTTTAACAAATTTCTCCCTTAAGAATTCTCAACGATTTTTTTTCACCAAATTTGCTGCCAATGATAATGAAGATGTGAGGCTTATTGCTATTGCACAGAACAGTAAAAGCCTGACTGAAATTTAAGGAAGCTCCCTTAGTAAGGGAGCTCATGGAAAACTCACCAGGAGAGAAGAAAGGAAACATACCTGGTATGGCAGTGACTCTAGCTGTGTGTACCTCCAGGTTATGCCAGAGGAGGTAAAGACACAGGCAAATGGCTTTCTCATGAATTCATACCCCAAAATTTCAGCACCAGATGTATGATGGTCCGGGAAGAGAGCACAGCCCCTCCCCCCTCAGCTTCTGCGGCAGGGTCTTTGGTGTTCCAAGGGACCCCTCCCCTCCCCCCACTGCTGCGGGCCCTTTGTCTCCCAGGTCCTGGGAAGACCTGCTAGCCCTGTTGTACTGCTGAGGAGCTCTTCCCAGAGAGGGCTGAGGAGCTCTATCCAGAGAGTGCTGTGAAGTCCTACCCAGAGAGTGCTGAGGAGTTCTATCCAGAAAGTGCTGAGGAGTTTCATCCAGAGTGAAGAAGATGGGCAGGCGCCAATGCAAGAATTCCTCCAACAACCTGAAGGGCAACATGACATCTCCAGAATCCAGGGAGCTCGAAACTAGAAGAATTGAACACCCTACTCCAGAAGAAATAGGAGAAATCGACTCTAAGCGCTTCTTTATGAAAATAATAGAGGAACTTAAACAGGAGGTGAAAATCTGCCATAAAGAAAT